CTCAGGTAGCTTCTTAACCCGCTGCACTACAATGCCAACCCCTTTCTTTAGATTTTTATAAAGAGTTGAATAATACAGTAATAATTCCTTTCCTGTATTACCCCAGAGAAAGTTACTGCTACCATGAATTCAGTAGGTATCACCTCCATATGTATTTTTATACTTTTTTTTTTTTTTTTTTTTGACAGGCAGAGTGGACAGTGAGAGACAGACAGAGAGAAAGGTCTTCCTTTGCCGTTGGTTCACCCTCCAATGGCCGCCGTGGCTGGCGCGCTGCGGTCGGCGCACCGCGCTGATCCGATGGCAGGAGCCAGGTGCTTCTCCTGGTCTCCCATGGGGTGCAGGGCCCAAGCACTTGGGCCATCCTCCACTGCACTCCCTGGCCACAGCAGAGAGCTGGCCTGGAAGAGGGGCAACTGGGACAGAATCCGGCGCCCCGACTGGGACTAGAACCCTGTGTGCCGGTGCCGCTAGGTGGAGGATTAGCCTATTGAGCCGCAGTGCCGGCGAATTTTTATACTTTTATCATTGTATGTTTGTATACTCAAAAACATTATATATATATACATATTTTTTTTAAAGATTGACCTAATTTTTTGAAAGGGAGAATTAGGGAGGAAGAGAAGAAAGAGAAACAGATCTTGCATCTGCTGGCTCACTCCTCAAATGGCTGCAACAGCCATGGCTGGGTCAGGCTGAAGTCAGGAGCCAGAGCTTCATCCAGGTTTCCTATATGGGTGCAGAGGCCCAAATACTTGGAATGTCCTCCACTGCTTTCCCAGGCTCATTAGACAGGGAGCTGCATTGGAAGTGGAGCAGCCGGGACTCAAACCAGTGCCCATATGGGATGCCAGTGCTGTAGACAGTGGCTTATCCTGCTGAGCCACAGCACTTGCCCCTGTGTACATTATATTTTCTAGGTTTAAATTTTTACATAAGTATGTATGTTTTTGATTTTTTTTAATTTAACATTATTTTCCCCATGATTTATCCCTGTTTTAGAGTTATGCCAAGTTCATTTATGATAGCTACTGTATATCATTACTTTACATTTATATATATATATATTCTATTGACAGACATTTAAGTTGCTTCTAATTTTTTTTTGCCTCTTTTGATCCTAGCAATTTCTTTCTTTTTTGGTAAAGATTTATTTATTTGGCATTACATTATTTATTTGGTATTATGCCAGCATCCCATAGGGGCACCAGTTTGAGTTCTGGCTGCTTTATTTCCAATCCAGCTCCCTGCGAATGGCCTGGGAAAAGCAGCAAAAGATGGCCCAAGTGCTTGGGCCCCTGCCACTCATATGGGAGACCCTGAGGAAGCTCCTGGCTTCAGCCTGGCCCAGCCCCCAGACATTGCAGCCTTTTGGGGAGTAAGCCAGAGGACGGAAGATCGATTCTGTCTCTCTCTCTTTTTCTCTCTCTCTCTCTCATTCAAATCTTCAGCAGCATTCAGTATCTTTCAAATACTTCCACTTGGGAGTAAACTTCTTTAATCTTTTTAGTTCTTTATTGAATATATCTCATATTTCTGAATCCTTTCTTTTGCTATGTCATTAATTCTGTATATAACTAGTAAGCCTGCATCTTTTAACCAGCAGTTTTTTTTTGCCAAAAAATGGTAAAAACTTGGACTTACACTCCTTTTCAGAAATAGGGGAAACACAAATGCCATTTAGTAAACTTGAATCTTCTTGAAGAATGGACTTCTGTAAATAAGAAAATAATGTGCTTAACGCTTTTGCTTTTTTCACTTTTTATTAATTTTGTAGAATATTACTAATTTTGTAGTCTATTATTCGATTTTTTTTAACTGAAGGTGCTTTGATTAACTAATAAAAAATTTAATTGTAGAACTATCCTGCTAATTTCTAGCAACAAGAGAGCCATATTAAAAATCAGTATACTCATCTCTCCCCACCTGACATTCAAAATACAAGGTGTTGGTGAGAAAGCAGTGGTGTTTGTCGTCCTAGACAACCCTTACAAGCCTGCAAAGCTGCTTTCTGCAGGCACATTTCTGAGTATGTGAATAGACACATGAACACATAGAAACATTTAAAAATACTCAGACTTTTGTGATTGTTGATAATTGGAGAAGCAGCAGAGCTGCTTCATAGCATAGTGATAAAGAACATGAGCTTTGGAATCAGAAGCTATGTCTGTTTCTAATCCTAGCTCTGGCATTTACCCAGCAGTAAATGCTTGTCTGTAAAATGAGAATAATAGTAGAACCTACTGCACAGGTTTATCATAAGGATTAAATTAACATACGTAAAGCACTTAGCAAAATCCCTGGAATATAGTAAGGGTTCTGTATATAAGTTATTTTAATGGACTTTCACTGATCATTACTAGAAATGTCTCTAATTCTGATGTTCTTAGGTATATTGCAAAGTATATGTAAAAGACCTTGTTCTGTAACTGGTGTGGCAGCAACACAATAAAATGTTACCTATATTATAGCTACTAAATGTTCATTTTTCTTATGTAGTTGTCTTAATTTTGAATTGCTTGTGGACTCAGGTTGTTCCAGAGGTTGCCATTGTTTTTTTTTTTTTTTTAAATCATCTTTTTGTCCTCTTTCATCATCATCAGTGTTATTTCTGATACTTACAGTGCCTGCTGTTTACTCTTACATGCTGGACAGTGTCTAGGTACTTTACAGATGCTATGTCTAGAGCTTAAAACACTTACTGTTGAAGTGAGGTGCACGTTTTTAAAATTTCAGAGCAAATATTTATGATAGTTTCTAAAAAGAATACTTTTATTTGAGGGAAGCACTAATATGATTTCTTCGATAAACATTTTAACTTAATTAAGGTTTTAATCAGGTTTTAAAACTTTATTAAAAATAGATTGATGGTGTCCATTGGGTAGCTGCCAAAAAAAAGTGTATAAATATAATAGGTATTAGCCTTAAAAAGGAAGGGAATTGGGGACTGGCACTGTGGCGTAGCCGGTAAAGTTGGCACCTGCAGTGCTGGCATCCCATATGGGCACCAGTTCGAGTCCTGGCTGCTCTACTTCCTGAACAGCTCTCTGGGCTGGGAAAGCAGTAGAAGACTTGGGCCCCTGTAGCCACATGGGAGACCCAGAAGAAGCTCCTAACTTCAGATTGGCATAGCTCTGGCCATTGTGGCCATCTGGGAAGTGGACCAGCGATGGAAGACCTGTTTCTTTCTTTCTTTTTTTTTTTTTTTTTTCCTATTTTTTTAGAAGATTAATTTATTTGAAATAGTTAAAGAGAGAGGGAAAGATAGAGATATATCTTCCATCACTGGTTCACTCCCCCAGATGGCCTCAATGCCTAGGGCTAGGCCAGGCCGAAGCCAGGAGCTTCTTCCAGGTCTCCCACATAGATGATAGAGGCCCAAGCACTTGGGCCATCTTCTGCTGCTTTCCCAGGCCATTAGCAGGGAGTTGGATGAGAAGTGTAGAGCAGCTGGTCTCGAAAAAGTAACCATATAGGATTCTAGCTTTGCAGGTAGCAGCTTTACCTGTTATGCCGCAACGCTGGCCCCTGCTTTTCTTTTGTGTTTTGAAAAGACCATTTAATAAATTATAGGAGATATCCTCTCCCAAATTTGAGTAAATTTAGCAAATTGTTTACAAGGTATTGAAGATTCCTGGCCCAAGATTTGAGAGCAAACGAGAACCCAGAGAAGAAACCCAGCTGTTCAGAGCTGCTTCTTCCCTGAGAATTTTTGCCAACATGGAAGAAGAAATTGTGAAACTGTCATTCTGAAGATAGAGAAATGGCATGGAAAAAGCCGGGAGCCCGGAAAAAGTCCCACTGTGAGAACTGGGCCTCCAGTGCTGTCAGAGGAGGAGTACACTGCAAAGAAACCCATATTCACATAGACTAAAAGCTGGTTTCTCATTTAATTATCCAGGGAAAGTCAAATCTTGAGTTTGGATTAAAGAAAATTCTGTGTGGAGAATATACTGTCACTTTGGGCATCACAATATTCCTGCAAGTAACTGTTCAACACACAGCTACTCAAGGAAACATACAGCAATGAAGAGCCAGCAGACACTAAGACAGCAGGACCACCTAGTTACCAGGAAGTATGGAATTAGCAGAATAGACCATGAGATTACATTTTTAATGATCTAAGAAAAGCAGAAGTAGAAAACTTTGGCATGGAACTTAAAATGATTAAAAAGTGACACAGCATGTTTGAAAACAAAAATTCAGAATTGAAAAACAACATTAGCCAGAAGAGCTCTAGATGAATTCAATGGTGGATTAGTGAGCTAGGTCGGTAGAAACTATCTAGAATGTGGACAAGATGAAAAGGTAGAAAACATAGGGGATTCTCAACACAGAGTGATAAAATCTAGTGTTTAGTGGGATTCTAAGAGGAAGGAAGGGAGAGAGTAAGAAGTAATGGCTGAGAAGTGTCCTGAACTGATGGAAGATCCACAGGTTCAGGAAGCCTACAACATCCAAGAGGGATTATGTTCATTTCTCTGTTGCTACATAAGACATTACTCCAAAATTTAGGAGTTTAAAATAGCAAAGAAGCATGTCAAAGGTCCTGGGGGTCATGAATTAGGTAGTGGTTTGAGCTATATGGTTCGGGGTTAAGAGTCTGTCATGAGGTTGCGTTCGTCTGAAAGCTTTACTGAGGCCAAGAGATCTTCCAGGGTGTCTCACTTGCATGACTGGCAATTTAGTGCTGGCTTTTGGCTGTTCTTTCTTTTCTTTTTTAAAAAATATTTGAAAGGCAGGAAAGAGATCCTCTGTTTGCTGATTCACTCCCCCAAAAGCTTGCAAGAGCTGGGGCTGGGCCAAGCTGAAGCCAGGAGGCAGGAACTCTATCTGAATCTCCTATGGGGGTAGCAGGAACGATGTACTTGAGCCATCACCTGCTGTCTCCCAGGGTGTGCATTAGCAGGAAGCTGGATCAAAGGCAGGGCTTGATCCCAGGTACTCCTGGACTGGATTTGTGCATCCCAAGTGGTGTATTAACCTGCTCACATGCCCTTGGCCCCAGTTCTTAGATGGGCCTTGAGTTTTATATGAACCTCTCCAAAGCAAGTGGTTTGAGAGAGACAGATGGAAGCTGCAGTATCTTAGGCATACTCAGTCATTTCTCAATAGAGGACCATATTGAGACTATTACACAGGTGTGAGTACTAGACAATAAGTAAACAGAAATCCCGACATCGGACATATTACAGAGAAACTAGGAGAGCATATTGAGGACTGGGCAAGTGGGAGAATTAAGGATGTTTGCAATACATTGAACTTTGGTATCTAAGCTGAGCAAGAAGGGAAGTGGGGACATATGAAGAAGCTAGATGGAAGCTAGTGGAAGAAATGGTAAAATTAACAGTTGGAAGGAATGAATGAGATAGAATTACTGGTGAAGATGAAGTGGAAGAATAGCAGGTGCTGGTGGTCAGGTGTTGGGATGCTTAAAATATTTTTCTTTTTAAATATTTACTTTAGAGGCAGAGATTTTGAAGACAGTGTAGTACTTGGTGCTTTGTGATATGACCAAGAATGGGAAGCTAGAATGATATGTTGGACTTGACTGTGGTGAGGAGGTCAGAGATCTGAAGGGAGGTAGCGTTGGATGTGTCATCCATGTGATTGTTGATGTCACCAAGAGCTGTTTAGGGGTAGAATGGACAATGGTAAAATTCTGAGGTCTATTCAAAGAGTGAGGAGGTTGAGAATCTGTCAGTGTCATGAGCAAGGTAGGAGGATAGTATATGATAAGATCTTAAGGCAAGAAATTACAGTGCACCAGGGTACCTCCAGTAGTTGGTAGAGATGCATATTATGTAAGAACTATTCATGGCTTTCAGTGGTTTTTGTTGGTGTTGCGTTGAAATAAATTGATCTTTCAATTCTATTCTTCCATGGACTTTTTTTGAAATACCGTTCATATGTTTGAAAAAACAAAAGGTTTAAAAGAAGCAAGGAGAAATATCCTCCTCTTACAGGAGGGAAGCAACAATCTCCAAAGGAGGGGAGTTCAGGTAACAGCCAGATTTTGGTTAAGAACAGAAGAGGAACTTTTTAGGGAGAGGGTTAAGGGGTGGAAGAGTTTGCTCAATAAAATTAACCATTATTGTCATTAGCATTTTCAGAATTATATCTTATGATTAGCTATTACATTACACTATTGTTATTTCTGGACATTGTTATAAATTTTATACTGTAGGTGTGTCATTTATTACTGAGTTTTCTGTGAAAGTTTGGATATCAGGCCTGTAATAATGAACATCAAACAATCACAGTTTTTTTTTTTTTTTTTCTTGGTAATTAAATAAAGGAAAGCCTTGGTTCCACAAGGCTAGACTTCGACAATCACTATCTTATACATATTGGAAAATCAGGTTCACATGTATTTGGAATGACTACCATATGCCATCCTATTGCTGGGAAAACAAAGATAGGATACCTCTTCCTAAGGAGTGTGGACTAGTGAGCTCAATGGGCTATCACTCGTGTGCATGTTCTTCCATACATACATAGCCCTAAGGATTTTATGAACACATATGCCAACATCAGACTGTTAGCAGTGGTCACCCTGACAGTGAAGGGAATGAAAGGGCAGTATATTAAGGGGAATTTTCTACTTTTAGCCTATGTTCTTTGAATCTCTTATGAAGATGTATTCATGTCATTTCCTAATATATTAAGAAAGAATTTAGGAAATTATAGTTTGCTTTGTGATAATAAAAGAAAACATGGGGTTTTTTAAGCCTGTGTCTGTTTCTTCTAGGCAGGAATACCAATGGGACCACTGCCAGCAGCGGGAATGCCTTACCTGGGCCAAGCGCCGTTCCTGGGCATGCGTCCTGCAGGCCCACAGTACACTCCAGACATGCAGAAGCAGTTTGCTGAAGAGCAGCAGTAAGAGACCTCCAGGCTTCAAGGAGATCAAAGACATCTGATCACAACTGTTGATTAAAAATTGTCAGATGTTCTCTAATGCATATTTGAAATCAAAACAGTCAAGTTGCCTTTTAAACTCTTTAAAATACTTTTTTCAATTAGAAATTTAGAGCTAGGGGGGACTTTAGAGATCGTCTAGTTCAGTTTTTACATCTAGAGAAAGTCAAGTCCAGAGAAATCAAATGACTTGTCAATGCAGGTTACACGGCTGCCAATACAGCCTGGACCCAGAGGCAGGCTTCCCCATTCCCAGAGCATTACTCTTCTCCTGTGTCATGTTCCTTCTCAGATAAGTTTTTTATATGCAGAGCGAAGAGTGCTTACATGTTTGTCTCCCTGGTTTTAGGGATCATTTTGATGTGCAAAAGGTTGTTTCCTGGGACAGGCATTATGGTATAGTGGTTAGGATACTACTTGGGTTGCCCACATCTGCTATCAGAGTGTTGGGGTTGGAGTTTAGACTCCATTCCCATCCAGCTTCCTGCTAATGCATCTGGGAGGCAACAGGTGATGGCTCAAGTACTTGGGTCCCCACCACCCAATTGGGAGACCTATTGGAGCTCCTGGCCTGGCCCTAGCCACTGTGTGCATTTGGAGAGTAAACCAGTGGATGGAAGATATGTCCCTCTCCCTCCCTGTGTATCTCTTCCAAATAAATAAAAATAAGTAAATAAAGTTTTTTTTAAAGAGATTTTTCTTCTTGCAAATTAGGTGAGAAACAAATTCACATATCTAAGTGAATAAATCATTTTAAGACTTATTTCAAATATTTTGGAGTTAATACAGTGAGGAGGAGCGGCCGACACTGTGGCACAGTGGGTTAAGCTGCAGTCTGCATTGCTGGCATCCCTGGGCACCAGTCCATGTCCCCGCTGCTCCACTTCCAATCCAGCTCCCTGCTAATAGCGTGGGAAAGTAGCAAAAGATGGCCCAAGTGCTTGGGCCCCTGCCACCTATGTGGGAGATCTGGAGGAAGCTCCTGACTTTGGCCTGGCCTAGCCCCAGCCATTGAGGCCATCTGGGGAGTGAGCCAGCAGATAGAAGATCTCTTTGTTTTTCTCTCTCTCGCTAGCTCTGTAATTCTGACTTACGAATAAATAAACACCTTTAAAAATAAATATAGCAAGGAGGAAACGGGATTGTCAAAAGAACGTTAGGTATGATCAGCAGTGAAGTTTATGGTTTCGGAAATACAAGATGGTATTGACGAAACTGTTAATAGAGTTCTGAATGTAACACGGTTGATAATTCCTGAAACTTGTTCTTCATTAGATCATTTTTCCTTCAGAAAACGTTTTGAACAGCAGCAGAAACTTTTAGAAGAAGAACGAAAAAGACGCCAGTTTGAAGAACAGAAGCAAAAGCTCAGACTCCTGAGTAGCGTGAAACCCAAGGTAATGAATTCCCCACCCAAAACACACGCCGTGAGTTTCCCTCATGGACACTGAGTGGGTTTTGTCGCAGAGCCACCAGTCCAAGTTGAGGATGTGATGGACGAGCTTCCTGTGGCTTACCTAAGTCCTAAAGTGAAGGGTTTTTCATTTTCCGTAAAGGTGCTCTGTTGTGGGTGGGAACTCGACATTTGCTGCCCTCCTCTCACCGCTTTTTTTGCCACCATGGCAATGTTTGTTTTCTTGGGAAGCAGTGGTCCTAAGTGTAATGGTAAGAAATGGATTTCTCTTAAGACCCTCTCAGGACACTTATTATCTAACAGCTTTATATTTACATTTTTATATATGGGCCTTTTATATTTTTACATTTTATGGAATGTCATTTTATGCCTGTTTCATGCACTAAGTGATGTCGTGGTGACGTGCAGAATTCACTATCAGAAGTATATGATAAAAATAGTGGAAACAGAGTAATACCTCTGCTTTTAAATTGGGAGGGTTTAAGACAAAGTTGAGAGATGAGTGAAGAAATTAAATATATTTGTTATCTTTTAGACAGGAGAGAAGAGTAGAGATGATGCTTTGGAAGCCATAAAAGGGAATTTAGATGGGTTTTCCAGAGATGCTAAGATGCATCCTACTCCAGCGTCGCACCCCAAAAAACCAGGTAGTTTTAAGAGGCATTAAAATTTTCTTTTCTCAGAAGGTGATATATAGTGCCTGTGTTGAAATGACCATTATATGTGTGTTAATCTCTTCCTCCAAACTAAGTACAGAGATTTGGATGTTTAAGATACACAGTGAGGGCCTGCACTGTGATGCAATGGGTTAAGCTGTCGTCTACAGTGCCTGCATCCCATATGGGTGCCAGTTCGAGTCCTGGCTGCTCCACTTCCAATCCAGCTCCCTGCTAATGCACCTTGGAAAGCAGCAGAAGCTACCCAAGTGCTTGGGACCTACCACCCATGTGGAAGACCTGGAAGAAGCTCCTTGCTTTGGCCTGGCCCAGCACTGGCTCGCTCTTTCTTTCTTTCTTTCTTTCTGTCTGTATGTCTGTCTGTCTGTCTCAGGCAGAGTTAGACAGTGAGAGAGAGAGAGACAGAGAGAAAGGTCATCCTTTTCCGTTGGTTCACCCCCCAAATGGCTGCTACGGCCAGCGGGCTGCACCGATCTGAAGCCAGGAGCCAGGAGCTTCTTCCTGGTCTCCCATGCGGGTGCAGGGCCCAGGCACTTGGGCCATGCTCCTGCACTCCTGGGCCACAGCAGAGAGCTGGACTGGAAGAGGAGCAACCGGGACAGAACCCGGCACCCCGACCGGGACTAGAACCCGGGGTGCCGGTGCCGCAGGCAGAAGTTTAGCCTAGTGAGCTGCAGCACCGTCCAGCACTGGCTGTTTCTGCCACTGGGGAGTGAACCACTGGATGGAAGATCTTTCTCTCTGTAACTCTGCCTTTCATATTAATAAATCTATTTTAAAAAAAGAAAAAGATACCCAGCAATTTAGGAGCTGTGGTCTGGATAAACCCCTCCCCCCCGAGGCTTATTTATTTATTTGAAAGAGTTAGAGAGAGATGCAGAGAGAAGTCTAACATCTTGCTGGTTCACTCCCAGATGAACAACAATGGCCACAGCTGGGCCAGGCTGAAGCCAGGAGCTTCTTCCCAGTCTCCCACATGGGTAGCAGGGGCCCAAGGCCATCCTCTGCTGCTTTTGCAGGCTGTTAGCAGGGAACTAGCTTGGAAATGGAGCAGCAAGGACAAGAACCGGCGCTCATATTGAATGCCGGCATTGCAAGCAGCAGCTTTACCTTCTGCACCACAGCGCTGGCCCCTGAAGAATGATCTTGAGAGGAAATAAACCTCTTTGTTGTCTACTTAAATATAAGTATGACAACTTTATTTGTGAATCTTTGGTATATCAGTGAGTAAATTAGGATTTGTGAAACATTCACTCATAGCAAATGTAATAAAAGAGTTAATATGTTCCATTGCTTTAAAATAACTACCTTTCTGGACTGGTTCTGATTTTATTCAATGTGATTAAACTTAAAACTTCTTAAAATATCCCATTTAAAAATTCATATTAGTAATGCTTCTCATGACATTTTAGATTCTTTAATATATTTCTTGATAGTTTTTATTATCAGGTAAGCCAAAAAAAAAAGTGCCTTTTAAGAGCAGGGTGGAGAGATTATATTTTGTTCTTTCGAACATTTAGAAGTTGGAATGAGTCTTGTTTGCACAGCTCTTACCACATCCCTTTTAACATTTTGATATTCTGACCTGATTTTTGAAAACAGAAGACTATGAACGGATGAATAGTCCTCATAAATCAGTTAGCCAAACAAGAAAGCACTGTCTACTGCTAGGAAATGTTACACTGATCAATTTTTTCTTGAATCTTTTTATTAGAGTGCCTTCGTGTTGTTGGTTTCTCTACTTGAGAAGCAGAGAAACACCGAAGTAGAGAGATACACACAGAGAGAATCCTCAGCTGCTGGTTCACTCCTCAAATGCCTGCCATGGCCAAGACTGGGAGTCTGAACCTCAGTGCAGGTCTCCCGCCTGAGTCCCAGGAATCCAGTCACTTGAGCCATCACTGCTACCTCCCCAGATCTGCATCAGCAGGAAGCTGGGTGTCAATTCCAGGCACTCCAGTTTGTGACACAGGCCTCTAAAAGGCTAGGCTAAACTCCCACCTGTCTAGGATCTTTTATGGGTGGTACCAGGAGGGAATGATATTGTCACAATAATTAATTTTTAATTTTCTGCAGCAGTTTTAATTGTATTCTATTCATTTCATGTGTTAGATCATATACCTAGATTACTATTCCAAAATATGCCCCAGAGTTAATATGCTAAGATTGAAAAGAAGGGGCCTACACTGTGGCATAGCGGGTTAATGCCCTGACCTGAAGCGCCGGCATACCATATGGGCGCTGGTTCTGGTCCCGATTGCTCCACTTCTAATCCAGCTCTCTGCTGTGGCCTGGGAAAGCAGTAGAAGAGGGCCCAAGTCCTTGGGCCCCTGAATCCACGTAGGAGACCTGGAAGAGGCTCCTGGCTTCAGATTGGCACAGCTCTGTCCGTTGCAGCCATCTAGGGAGTGAACCATTGGACGGAGGACCTCTCTCTCTCTCTCTGCCTCTCTTCTCTCTGTGTAACTCTGACTTTCAAATAAATAAATAAATCTTAAAAAAAAAAAAAAAAGATTGGAAAGAGAATGAATCAAAGTAAGAAAGTGAAAGCATATCCAGACAAGAAAGTTAAACACGGAATGAGCTAGTCGAGAAGTAATTTAAGAGTAGATGGGGCCGGTGCTCTGGCGTAGCTGGTAAAGCCACTCCCTGCAGTGCCGGCATCCCACATGGGTGCCAGTTTGAGTCTTGGTTGCTCCACTTCTGATCCAGCTCTCTGCTATGGCCTGGGAAAGCAATGGGAGATGGCCCAAGGCCTTGGGCCCCTGCACGCCCGTGGGAGACCTGGAAGAAGCTCCTGGCCTCCAATCAGCGCATCTCTGGCCGTTGCGGCCAACTGGGGAGTGAACCAGTGGATTGAAGATGTGTGTGTATGTGTGTGTGTGTGTGTCTCTCTCTCTGTCTCTGCACCTCTCCTTCTCTCTCTGTGTAACTGACTTTCAAATAAATCTTAAAAAAAAAAAAAAAAAAAAAAAAAGATGCTTGAAGTTAATGCTCAAATGACCCAGCACAGAAGTTAGGAATGGAGAACACAGAGAGGAGTGGTCATTTTTAGGCCATTTTGGCAACCAGCTGTGGTTTCACAGTGAGTACTAACGATGAAAAGTACTCATTGTTAAATAACAAATTGATGCTTTTATGGTCAGATCTTGTGAATTTAGTCAACATGTGCTCAATTCGTAATTTTTAATTGACTGCTTGATGCAGAGCATGAAGCAAACCCACAGAGATTCCAGAGGCTTCCCTTTAGGGTCTTACTAACCCTAGGCCCAGAGTATGTAGAAATAGTTAATCTTTTCACCGCCAAAGGCATTTCTAATTTTCCCCCATAAAATATTTATCTTAAAATCTTAAAATATAAACTGTATCATAATTTTATGCTGCTTAATAATTACATTTATAGCTGTAAGAATTTGAGTCAAAATATGTTCCATATAGAATTAACAATTCCAGCCAAATGCAAAAAAAAAAAATAAAGTGGATTTAGCCTTTGCAGCATGTTGCTAATACATAGGGGCCATATTATAAAAATGTTCACAGTAGGGCCTGACATTGTGGCACAGCAGGTTCTTCTGCTCATATCAGAGTGCCAGTTCAAATCCCAGCTAAACAAAATTAAGGCAGTAATTTTGCATCTTTCATAAAATTTTTAATACTTCCAAATCTTACTTCATTGCTATAAAGAAGATACTAAGTGTGTAGTGTCCCCATATTTCAGATGAGAGCCTTTCTAACAGGGAGCTGGGTTGCAAGTGCAGAGGCAGGACTTGATCCAGCAGCCGATACTGATGCCAGCACTGCAGGCCGTGGTTGAACCAGCTGAGCCACCACACCGGCTGCCCAGATGAGAGCCTTTTTAAAGAAAAGTCTGCTCCCTGTGACATTAAACTTCAGTAAATATTGAAGCAATTGAGAGTAGTTAAAAACGTGAAGAAGCAACAATAAAGTGTGTTACTAATGAGCTTTGTACTAAATCTGGCCCCTGTGGAGCAGGCTTACTACATAAATGAATCTCACTTTAACAATAAAAAGCCGCAGTGATGTTTATAAAAATCCTTTAGTGCTGAAGATCTTTTTATGTAGTCCTCAGGCAGGCTTACTTTCTATTTGTTTATTAAGATTTATTTATTTATAAGGCAGAGTTACAGAGGAGACAGAGATCCTCCATCTGCTGGCTCGCTCCCCAGATGTCTATGATGGCTGGAGCTGGGATGATCCATAGCTAGAAGCTTCTTTCAGATCTCCCACGTGGGCACAGGGGCCCAAGGACTTGGGCTATCTTCTGCTGCTTTCCCAGGCGCATTAGTAGAGAGCTAGATCAGAAGTGGGGCAACCAGGACATGAACCATCACCCAGGGATGCTCAGCACCACAGCACCAACTGTGCTACAATGCTGGCCCCATGCTTACTTTCTTATATTGACCATTGAGTTGTTTGGTTGAGTACTTTAATATGGTATGCCAGTTTTGATAACTTTCATAGGAAAGTGTTACCTTTATAATGTACTTAACACTTTTGTTTTTTGTAATTTTCATGTGATCTATTCAGAGTTCATGGATCAGGGGTGATATATAAACAAATTACAAGCTTATATTGTATCTTGTTCCTACTATATTTCTTAATAAATAATTAAGTTTATATTGTGCATTATTTCTCACTGAATTTCCAACTAAATAATGAAATTTAAGCATCAGAATCTGTCTGAAGTGTTTGAGTGTTAGTAGGAACAGTAAAAGGCAAAAAGTAAACCATCAGAGCCTTTGGAGGCTGACATTACCAGATGTGGTATCAGACTTCAGAAAGGCTGCAGAAAAACGGAATTCTGTGATACTTATTTTGGTGCAAAAAAGTTTTGAAGTTCAATTGTACTTTTTTCATAATACACATTTCTGTGAACTTTTTGAAGATCACTCATACATAGGTTTTCTTATATCTGAGATACATTGATTTGAGAGAATATCACCCAGGTAAACTGTTCATTTGGATTTAAAAATAATCACTATGTTGATATAGATTATTAGTGGTCTTGGATAGGGAAAAAATTAGTGTTGACCTAATAAAAGGAAAATTTGAGTTTCACTTTTTTGTTTATGAACCAAGTACAAAGTAGCTCTAGAATTTCCTCTTCGAAAGACACAAAATTGTGTGTAGACATCAGTTTTTTGCAAGTGTTGTCTAATTCCACTTGTTCACCTCCACTATTTTGTTTTGCTGTTTTCTTTTGGAATTGTACTGCATCTCAATTTCTCTTTTCTCTGTTGATTTTCATTTCTGTGTGTTTCATTACCATTTTCCATTTTGCAGATTGTCCCACATCATCTCATTCTACCAAAACTGTCTCCCCATCACCTGCCTTTCTTGATGAAGAAGAATTCAGTGACTTTATGCAGGGGCCTGTTGAAGTTCCCGTATGTGGGCCTTCTTCCACGGCCCAGCCCTTTCAGTCTTTCCATCCTACCACCCCACTTGGCCAGTTGCTTACGCAGAAGGCTGGGGCACAGCCTCTCCCTGCAGGTCAGATTCCAGTGTCATTTGCCTTACATGGTGTCCCTGGGCAAATTCCTTATTCCTCCACTGCTTCAGCCTCACACAGTGTACAGAAAGCAGGTAACTCCTAGCATTATTAATGCAAATATTCATGAGACAGTCTAGGATAATTGACTTGTTATATAAGTAGAGTAATACAGTAATGTTAGCAAGGAAACTTTTATATGAATATATTGGTGCTCTCAAAATTCACCAAAGAGTGTTGAGTTTTAAATTCTGGAGTCTTCACATTCTAGAAAAGTGATTAAAATATGATCCTAAATCAGCAATTTAAACCACCTTAGAACTTGGAAAACAAATTGGTTTCTAAAAAGCATTACTCTTTCATTTGGGAAAAATCACCAATATGGCTTTCTTAAGAATGAAATATTGAAGTGGTCTTTCTGGTTCAGTGAGTGAGAGTACTTGGGGCCAAAGCCCAGGGTGTTCATTCACCGCCTGTCCTTGGATAGGTTGTTAAACATTTCTGTGCCTCAGTTTAAATCATCCATGAAACAATAAGGTCAGCTAAACCCTGTATCTCATGACATACAAGACAGCGCTGGAAGGGATCTTGGCAGATGTGTATAGTTCGAACTGTCTCATTTGACAGACCTGCAAACAGCCCTGGAGGTGTTATTACTGCCCTGAGGCTTGCCGAGTAGTTAAAGTGTCTGTATCGCAGGTAGGTTCCCTGATTTCTAAGGCAGTGCTCCTTGCACTATGCTATTCTACCTGCCTTTTCAGAGAATTCATGAGAATCACAGTTGATTATGAAGTTCTCTTTAAGTTTCTCAAGTCCGATATAAGTGTGTAATGACTGGATTATTTAAAAGATTACATTATGTGTAGCAGAACTTTCCCTTTAGAATATTGGGGTGGAAGTGAATGAAAAGATGAGAAATACGCGATTATATACGAATAATCCTTCATGCTGTTTGTTTAGGCCCTTCTTTGGAGGAGAAGCTCCTAGTGTCTTGTGATATAAGTACATCTGGGCAGGAGCAAATTAACTTAAACACTTCTGAAGTGGGGCACAAAGCCCTAGCCCCGGGTCCCAGTAAGAACCATCCCAGTTTAACGGCCAGTAACGGGGGTGCTGTAGACGGATGTTTAAGTGGTACCACCACTGCAGAGGCAGAAAAGTCTTCAGACCAAAACCTGTCAATTGAAGAGAGTGGTGAGCTCATGAAACATTCAACAAAAAAATTTGCTTAACCAGATGCTCAAATGCTAACACCTTAAGCATTAATCTTATGAATGCTGCTTGATTTTGCTAATTGAAACTATGCTTAAAATATATTTAATGCACTCTTTTCTCCAGTTAACCCCTAAGATTTTGCTCTGAATTCTTTCAAGACACTAAAATTCCTTTTCAAAAATAAGATTTTTATAACCCGTTTTCTTAATAAGAATCATTCCTGATTATAAATATTCTTTCCTTTTGTTTCATAAAAGCTCTCTCTTTGTCCCCTTAAACTTTATGTTCTTCCGTGAAGGTTGAAAAATTAAACTAACTGGAAAAGTCACCAATGAAAATATAGTTTTGCATTCTTCAAAGTAGATCATAAACACTGCGCCTGAAAGATCCAGATTTTATAAACTCATCTTGCAGAGATGAATTAAAATGTGGCGAGCCTAGGAGGCAAATTTATAAAAGATATTTTACTGTATTAAAAAAAAAGAACTCAAAAATTCCTGTACATCTAAGGCAGCAGTGTCGTATTCAGGTAAAGAAATAAAATCAGACTTGCAAAGAAGCATTATTATAAGCCACAAGAAAAGTTTAGGCAATTAAAATTTTTACATAGGTAATTTTTTAAACCATCTGTCTTGTTTTTTCCTTCAGTTTATAAGTGCAAAATGATGCAAGCCTTGTATGACTCAGACTATTGATTTGGTACATTTTAGTTTTTCTTTAATTTATTCTTGATGACATAATGTACAGGAGTTGTTTAGAAACAATATTTTAGTTGTATTGGTGACTTTTTTTAAAAGTGTCTCCAACAAGTGCTCTTTTTTATAAAAAAAACAAGCAAACAGTGACTCAGTGTTTCCACATCTTCTCCATGAGTTGTGTACATTGATGTTTCCTGTTTTGCAGGTGTGGGAGTGTTTCCCTCCCAGGACCCTGCTCAGCCCAGAATGCCTCCTTGGATTTATAATGAGAGTTTGGTTCCAGGTAAAAAAAAAAAAAAACTTCTTTGCCCAGTATTCCCTTTGAGTAGTTTGCTTCCAATATCATGAATTTTATTGTAAATATTACTGTCATGGTTACACAAAATGCAGAAGGAGTTGTCACTTTTCTTTTGTTCTGAAAGAGCACAGAAAATTGATCTGGTTCTTAAGATTGCCTTATATATGGAATAGCTATATCAACAAGAAGAAATTATTTGCTTTGATATTTTAAATGTTTTATTCATCGTCTTAATATTTTTATTTCTAGAAGTGTTCTTTGATTTACTGTGCCTTAAAAGATAATATCAAATGTTCATTTCCAATTATGTTAATTATTGGGTACAGTTTTGTGAATTCTCAACGACTAATGGATTTTTTTAATGTTCATTTTATAAGTTGTCATGTGATATACAAAGTAAGAGACCAGGTGGCTTCCTTGTTCACATTGAAAGGTGGATTTTACTTTTTCCTTTATGTAATTATTACTGCTGAGCCAAAAGGAATCAGGACAGTGCATTTTCTAGAAGCACTCAATTGATACAAGGAAATAATTTATTTAAACCATAATTTATCCATAGAATTTGGGCTGCAGCAGCATATGTTAATCTTTTTTAAAAAAAGATTATTTATTAGAAAGGCAGAGTTACAGAGAGGCAGAGGCAGAGAGAGAGTATCCATCTGCCGTTTCACTCCTCATATGTTAATCCTAAAAAAAAATTGTGAAAACCATTTTTTTTTTATTTGACAGGTAGAGTTGTAGACAGTGAGAGAGAGAGAGAGAAAGAAAAGTCTTCCTTCCATTGGTTCACTCCCCTAATGGCCACTACGGCTGGTGCTGCACCGATCCGAAGCCAGGAGCCAGGTGCTTCCTCCTGGTCTCCTATGCGGGTGCAGGGCCCAAGCACTTGGGCCATCCTCCACTGCCTTTCCGGGCCCCAGCAGAGAGCTGGACTGGAAGAGGAGCAGCCGGGACTAGAACCTGGTGCCCATATGGGATGCCGGCACCGCAGGCAGAGGATTAACCAAGTAAGCCATGGCACCGGCCAAGAAAACCATTTCTAAATAAGGGAGCGGGCATTTAGCCTAGAGGTTAGGATGCTCATGTTGCACATCAGAGTGCCTGAGCTCAATTTTTGGCTCCAGCTCCTGACTCCACTATCTGTCAGTATAGATCCTAGGAGGTAGCAGTGAATGCTCAAGTCATTGAGTTGCCACTGTTTAGGAGACCTGGATGGAGTTCCCAGCTCCTGGCTTCACCCCCAGTTGTTGTAGGCATGTGGGGAGTGAACCAGTGGATGGAAGCTCACTCTTTGTCTTTCTGTCTCCCAAATAAATGTGAAAATAAAAAATGTTAATTAAGGGGGCCCAGTGCTATGGTGTAGCAGGTAAAGCCACTGCCTACAGAATAGGCATTCTATATGGGCACTGAAGTCCCAGCTGCTCCACTTCCCTGCTGATATGCCTGGGAAAGCAGCAGAAGATGGCCAACTGCTTAGACACCCTTGCACCCCCATGGGAGAAGCTTCTGGCTCCTGGTTTCAGGTCAGCCCAGCCCCAGCCATTGCAGCCATTTGGGGAGTGAAGTAGTGAATGGACAATTGATCTCTGTGTCTCCCTTTCTCTCTAACTATGCCTTTTGAATTAGTAAATCTTATTAAAATTTTTATTGACATATAATTGTACATATTTATAGGGTACAGTGTGATAATTTGATAAATATATACAATGTATAGTGGTCAAATCAGAGTAATTAGCATACCCATCTCTTAAATGCTTATTACTTATGTATATTGGGAACCTACAAACTCCTGTTCTAGTTTCTATGCAATATATAATAAATCGTTGTGAACTCTTTTCACCTTTCTGTGCAATAGAACAGTAGAATTTATTCTTTCTACGTAAATTGTGGTATCTATTATCCAACCACTCTCTGTTCCTCTCCTCCTATCCTTCCTGATCTGTTGTGACCACTATTCTGTTCTCGACTTCGATGAAATCAACTTTTTTAGCTTCTGCATGTGAGTGAGAACATAACAGTATTTGTCTTTTTGTAGCTGGCTTAATTTCACTTAGCATGATGTCCACTTCCATCCGTGTTGTCCCAAATAGCTGAAAAATAGGCCATTGTGTATGTTTGCCACATTTTCTTTATCTGTTCATCCGTCTGTGGATACTTAAACTGATTCCATATCTTGGCTATTGCGAAAAGTGCTGCAGTAAACATGGGAGTGCAGATATTTCTTTGATAAATTGATGTTTCTTTTGGCTATTTCTCCAGTAATGGGAGAGCTGGCTCCTATGGTCAGTCTATTTGTAGTTTCACTGAAGACCCTCCGTGCTGTTTTCTATAATGGAACAGAATATGAGACATGTTTCCTTTTCTCTACATTCTCCCCAGCATTTGTTTCTAATTTTTTTGGTAATAGCCATTCTAACTAGGGTGAGATGGTACTTTGTGGCTTTGATTTATGGTTCCCTGATGATTGGTGATATTGATCATTTATTTTAAGATTTATTTATTTTACTTGAAAGTCACAGTTACACAGAGAAGGAGAGGCAGAGAGAGAGAGAGAGAGAGAGAGAGAGAGGTCTTCCATCCGCTGGTTCACTCCCCAGATGGCTGCAACGGCCGGAGCTGCGCCGATCCGAAGCCAGGAGCTTCCTCCAGGTCTCCCACACAGGTGCAAGGGCCCAAGGACTTGGGCTATCTGCTGCTGCTTTCCCAGGCCATAGCAGAGAACTGGATCAGAAGTAGAGCAGCCAGGTCTCGAACTGGCACCTATATGGGATGCTGGCACTGCAGGTGGAAGCTTTACCCACTACGCCGCAGCACCAGCCCCAGGTTGTTTCTTTACTGTGTTGATTGTTTCCCTTGCTGTGCAAAAACTTCTTAGTTCAATATAAATTTCATTTGTTTTTGTTGCCTGTTTTTGGGATCTTATTTTAAAAAATCATTGCCTATACTGATGTCTTAAAGTGTTTCCCCTGTGTTTTCTTCTAGTAATCTTATAATTTCAGCTTTTATGTTTAGGTCTTTGATCCATTCTGAGTTGTGTTTTGTAGATGGTGAGAGATAAGGGTTAGCATGTGTTAATATATTGTGACTTGTTTAATTTAGTGTAGTTTGCTAACACCTTGAAAGCTAAAGGTAAATTCCCTTAGATCTTCAGTTTTCTAGATTGGTCATAGGCTAAATTTGTTGTGAACTTGATTAGATAAAATTCATGCATGATTTCTGTGGCTGAACTTTTTAGAAGAAACTGATAATATCTTTATTGTAGTCACATCCAGAAAGGCTAATTATTCCCAAAACTCTATGGGTCTTCAACTGTGCATAAAACTGCAATGTTCCCTTTGAGCAGTTTGCAGCTATTCTTCTTCCCCTCTGTCCTCGAGCCAGACAAGCAAATAAAAGCTGGGTCTTGTTATTTTTGCGAGTTTTACCTATTTTCTGCCAGTTTGTATTTCTCCTTCCTCTTTTCAAACATAAATTTAAAAAGTCATACATTAAAAGACAAAGTAACGTGTTCTTTTTTCCAGCCTACTAACCTGTAATTCATATTTTTTTTTTATTTGACAGAGTTAGACAGTTAGAGAGAGACAGAGAGAAAGGTCTTCTTCCTTCCATTGGTTCACCTCCCAAATGGCTGCTTTGGCCAGCACTGTGCCAATCCAAAGCCAGGAGCCAGGTGCTTCCTCCTGGTCTCCCATGCAGGAGCAGGGCCCAAGCACTTGGGCCATCCTCTGCTGCCCTCCCGGGCCCCAGCAGAGAGCTGGACTGGAAGAGGAGCAGCCGGGACTAGAACCCTGTGCCCATATGGGACGCCGGTGCCGCAGGCGTAGGATTAGCCAAGTGAGCCACGGCTCCGACCCCCGTAATCCGTATTTTTAATCCTAGGTGTAAAATTTTATTATCAACATTTTTCTCTGTCAGCCTTAGCTTTACTCACTTTGATTTCCAACAACCTTCATAACTGGACTTGCCGGATTTACACCTTATAAGCATATATGCCATGTTAAGTTTTAGTTTCAGGCAAACAGCAAATAATTAAGAATGTCCCATTTTTTGTTTTATATGATAACCCTATCTCTAGCATCCTTCCCATTTAGGCCTTTGGAAAGCCCATGTTACTGTGAAAAACTCACCAGTAGTCCCTTTGTTTGTTTCAAATGCTTGCTCTACTTCCTTGCCCTACGTGAAGCCAAGTCTTTGCTTGAAAGCTGCCTTTCCAGAGATCCGCCACTCATTGGCTTGTTCCAGAGAAAAGCAGTGTTGGTGGAATTCTTACTTCCCCTTGCTATTTCCAAACTCTTCACTACTCTATACCTTCTTCTCTTTTAAAGTACAATGTATCTGCTTACACCACCTCTACCGTATTATTACTGAAATCTTCTGAGTTACAAAAGTTTACTTTACCTTCGACTACAAGTCATCTTTAGGATCAACCTCCAACCTCTCTCCTAAGCTCCAGACCCTAATTGTCTTGGGATTATTTCCATTTGACTGCCTTTTTAAAAAATATTATTTGTTTAAAAGGCAGAATGACAGAGTCTTATACAGAGAGAGATCATCTGTCCCCTGGTTCACTTGCCAAATGCTAAGCCAGGAGCCCAGAACTCTATCCAGGTTCCCAATGTGAGTAGCAGGGGCCCAAGTACTTGAACCACTGCTTCCCAGGGTATGGATTAGCAGGAAGCTGGGTCAAAAGTGAAACCTGGACTTGAACCCAGACACTCCAATATGGGATGCCAGCATCCCACACAGCATCTGTTAACTACTGTGTCAAACACTGGTACCCCATCCTCATACTTGAACTTCTTTACAGCACTTCAAACCTTGATGTGCCTTTGGTTCTAGTAAAGTAGTTTGATTTAAGATCATTCTTGTATACCAGCAATAAGCAGAAAAGGTCCATCATTTGTACTGTGTTTACATTTGTAATTTGTTCTTTTCTTTAACAGATGCCTATAAAAAAATTCTGGAAACCACAATGACTCCAACTGGAATAGATACTGCTAAACTCTATCCTATTTTGATGTCGTCTGGACTTCCCAGGGAAACCCTTGGACAGATATGGGCCTTAGCTAATCGAACAACACCTGGCAAACTTACTAAAGAAGAGCTTTATACAGTTCTCGCCATGATAGCAGTAACACAGGTAGATAGCTTTTTTTATGGTGGGTCAAGTAACTTTGATGCACACTGAACAAATGTGACTACTTTCTACTGCAACATTGTAGAATTCTTTGTACATCAAAATTTGGATTCTTTTCATGATATAGTACTTTTTAAATATACAGATTAAGTGATGCACGTACTGGCAAATTATTCTCTTGTTTAAAAATGTTTAATATGTCAACATTCTCTGGCCTAGCTGTTCATTACTTCTGATTTTGAAAAGTTAATAATAGGTTAAATGACTCTCATTTAATGTCCTTTTTTGAAATTCCAGAATTGTAAAATATTTTCAGATTAGTAGCAGTCTTCATTTCAAAGTCATTTTAAATTATTCGATCATTGCAAATTGAATTATTGAAGGGGGAAAATGTCAGAACTGATATGTGTCATCCATTTCTAAGGATTAGATTTGTGTTAACCTTGTAACTTTTTTCTTAAATTCGGGGAAGTCAGAGTGAAAATACAAAGTCTACAGATTTTAAAGTTTCTCTTAATTCTATGTGCTTTTGCAGTCCCCTAAAATGTTTGTTTCCTGCCTGTTCTGTATAGAGGGGTGTACCTGCCATGAGTCCTGACACTTTAAACCAGTTCCCAGCGGCTCCTATTCCAACTTTAAGTGGTTTTCCTATGACTTTGCCTACCCCAGTGAGTCAGCCAACTGTGATACCATCAGGCCCTGCAGGCTCCATGCCCCTTGGCCTTGGACAGCCTGTCATGGGCATTAACCTTGTTGGACCAGTGGGTGGAGCTGCAGCCCAAGGTTCCAGTGGCTTCATGACAACTTACCCTGCAAATCAGGTAAGTGGAAAAGCTGGCCTATTGCAAATAATCCCTGAAAGTGAATCTAGGCAACTTTTTTTTTTCAGGAATACATAAAGAAAATTGCTAGATTTTGATGGACAATTGAGGTTAAAATTAAATAGTGTTAAAACTAATTTTTTTTTTATTATTTAAAGGATATGAAGAAATTTCTTAGTTGTTAAGGTGCTTCTAGGTCAGAATCCCTTTATAACTAGTGTGATCATGCCCAAGAATTGCTTGCTGCTTCAACAACAGATAATTTCCAGTATAGAAAACAGGTAGTAAAGAGGTGAATAAGCCGGCGCCGTGGCTCAATAGGCTAATCCTCCACCTTGCGGCGCCGGCACACCGGGTTCTAGTCCCGGTCGGGGCGCCGGATTCTGTCCCGGTTGCCCCTCTTCCAGGCCAGCTCTCTGCTATGGCCAGGGAGTGCAGTGGAGGATGGCCCAGGTGCTTGGGCCCTGCACCCCATGGGAGACCAGGAAAAGCACCTGGCTCCTGGCTCCTGCCATCGGATCAGCGCGGTGCGCCGGCTGCAGCGGCGGCCATTGGAGGGTGAACCAACGGCAAAGGAAGACCTTTCTCTCTCTGTCTCTCTCTCTCACTGTCCACTCTGCCTGTCAAAAAAAAAAAAAAAAAAAGAGGTGAATATATTTGGCTGAAGGTTTATAGTTCATTATAATATATATTTAAAACATCAAATCTAATAAGGTTAATTAAATGTTTAAGTTGTATCTTTAGGGTAAACTGCTACTAAGCTTAAAATTTTGTTTATTTTCACTACTCAGATTAGCAAAAGTTTTTATTAAATGTTTCATCTTTAGTGTCTGTGAAAATACAGAGGAAAAGTGACTAGTATACTATGGATTCCTTGTTGTACCTTTTTTAGATGGCAGGTTTGGCAGTAGCTACCAAAATTATTGTTGTCTGTACCTTCTGAACTAGTGTTTACATGAGCAGAAATAGTAGCTCAAGTTAGCAAAGATAGACACAGGTGTTTTGTTGTAACTTTTGTCAGAATGAAAAATTAGAAATAGCTTAATATCTATCAGAATGAAAAGGTTCAGTACATTTCAGTTCATATGATAGTGATAAGCTGATCATTAGAGTTCGTGAGTAGGTGGGTGTGTACTATGCAGAAGGATATCCTCGCTATGTAGTTACAGAACAGTATGTTGTGCACTCATTTTTCTATAAAGCAGTTATACCATTAATAGTACTCACATCTGGAGTGTGGGGTTAGGAATCACTCATCACTGTTTATCTTTGTATGATTGGTTCTGATGGGCTTGGATCACTTTTAAAACTTAGATTTGTGTGAAATATTTTTTAAAGATGGCAGATTCTCAGTTACCCAATAACTATGATTCAGCAGATTTTTAAAAATGTATAGATGGGCCGGCGCCGCAGCTCACTAGGCTAATCCTCCGCCTTGCGGCGCTGGCACACCGGGTTCTAGTCCCAGTCGGGGCGCCGGATTCTGTCCCGGTTGCCCCTCTTCCAGGCCAGCTCTCTGCTGTGGCCCGGGAGTGCAGTGGAGGATGGCCCAAGTGCTTGGGCCCTGCACCCCATGGGAGACCAGGAGAAGCACCTGGCTCCTGCCATCGGGTCAGCGCGGTGCTGGCCATTGGAGGGTGAACCAACGGCAAAGGAAGACCTTTCTCTCTCTCTCTCTCTCTCTCTCTCACTGTCCACTCTGCCTGTCAAAAAAAAGTATATAGATGACCTCTTTAACCCTGTCTTCTACCATTCGTGCCAGGGAGTATCTAAAAATACAAGGTTCCTACCTTAAGCGCTTTAGTTGATGTTATTAAAGAGTGTTCTAAGGTTAGCTGGTTGTTCCTAAATTGAGAAATTTAAAGGCAGCCTTTAAAGCTGGCAGTTGAAGGTTGGACTTCTTTTTTCCGTTTGATCTTTGCTACCTAACCATCTTCTATAAACACAGGTGGGAAAGCCAGAAGACGATGACTTCCAGGACTTTCAAGATGCTTCTAAATCCGGATCTCTTGATGACTCATTCAGTGATTTCCAAGAGTTACCTACTGCTTCAAAAACAAGTAGTTCTCAGCATGGAAACAGGTAGAAAGAGTTTAATGGTTTTAACATTGTATTCGACCATTAAGAAAAAGATACCCACAATAAAAAGCCTAAGTATAAGTAAAATTAAGTTTACATGTGCATGGCCGGCGCCACGGCTCACTAGGCTAATCTTCCACCTGCGGTGCCGGCAGACCCCGGTCGGGGTGCCGGATTCTGTCCTGGTTGCCCCTCTTCCAGGCCAGCTCTCTGCTGGGGCCAGGGAGGGCAGTGGAGGAGGGCCCAAGTGCTTGGGCCCTGCACCCCATGGGAGACCAGGAGAAGCACCTGGCTCCTGCCATCGGATCAGCACAGCCCACCGGCCATAGTGGCCATTTGAGGGGTGAACCAATGGAAGGAAGACCTTTCTCTCTGTCTCTCTCTCTCTCACTGTCTAACTCTGCCTGTCAAAAAAAAAAAAAAAAGTTTACATGTGCTATACTACTTTTCCTTGACTATTCCCTTGTTATGCATTCTTTCACTCTTTGAACTTCTCTCCTCTTTGTCCACCTTAACCTCCTACTTTTTTCTCCCAGTATTTCTTTGCTTGTTACTGGGACTGTGGCATAACGTGTTAAGTTGATCCGAGCAATGCCGGCGTCCCATAGTGGAGCACTGGTTCTAGTCCAGACTGCTCCACTTCTGATCCAGCTCTCTGCTATGGCCTGGGAAAGCAGTGGAAGATGGCCCAAGTGCTTGGACCCCTGTGCCTATGTGGGAGACCTGGATGGGTTTCAGCTTCTGGCCTTGGTCTAGTTCAGTCCTGGCTTTTGTGACCATTTAGGGAGTGAACCAGATAAAAGACCTCTCTCTCTGTGTCATTCTGCCTTTCAAATAAATAATATAAATCCTTTTTAAAAAAGACAGCAGTAATAAATTAGAGACAGTGATGGTGCTTAATAATAAATAGTGCTTAAAATGTTTTTAAGAATTCTGTTTTCGCTTGTGCTAAACCTGATTTTTTAAAGCTGAGTGCGCATAGGCAGTGATGACGTCATCTCCCTGTATTAGCTCCCGGTGTTCCACCTATTGGAAAGTAGGAGGATGTGGTTTTATATTTCTGTAATGTAATGTGCTGCTGATTTTCCACAAAACTCACAATTCAGAACTCTATGATTATTCATCTCTAAGAAGTTCTGATTCCTGCTTGCATAAACATTTCTGTAACCTTTAGGTGCAGTAACTGATTCAGTCAGTATGTTGTCAACACTTTACCCTCTAATTTTTTTTTTTACTTATTTGTGGGGCAGAGAGAGAAAGCAAGAATGTGAGTGCCCCCCCCCTTCTGCTGATTGACTCCCCAAATGCCTGCAATAGCTAGGGTTAGATCAATCCAGGTCTCCCATGTGGTGGCAGGTACCCTGTTATTTGAGCCATCACCGCCATCACCCAGGGTCTGCATTGGCAGGAAGCTGGAGTCAGGAGCCAGAGCCTGGGATCAAAACCAGCTACTCCAGGAGAGGATGCAGAGGATGCAGGCTTCTTAATCAGTAGGCTAAGTACTCCCTGTTTTAAGTTTTCAGATATTTCTTCCACAGATTGGACAACACCATACTTAAAGCAATGTGAGGTTTTTTCCCTTTGGTTTGTTTTGGAAACTTGTTTTGTCAGAGTACAGAAGGCCATTTCTCTGATGTTGCTGTTTGTGCAGCTTCCGTCACCGCTGTAAGTATGAAGAGATGCTCTTACTCAGCACTTCCCTGCATACGTACTGTAACAAGAGCTAGAGATAGTCATTATAGAGAATTACAAATTAGGAAAAGGTTATTCTCCTGGTTTGAAGAGTACACAAGCACATGTTAATACATAGTAGAAACAGAAGAAGCATATGGGGGATGTGATACTGAGTTCTGGGATTTCCAAGACCACTGTGCCACAGGCACTGTTAACCTTACAGATACATAATCTGGTTTCTACCCCAGATCTCTTCCTTAGATCAAAATTTATATATACTGCCACTTTGTAAGCATCCTTTTCAGAGTGACCCAAAGCATCTTGAATTCACTGCATAAAGTTGAATTCATTATTTTCCTACTGAAATTCACTTAACAAAAAAAAAGATCGTTCCCTTTCCTAGTGAATGGTGTCACCAGATTAGAAGCATGTTGTTTGTTCCTGGTTCTGTCCTCCCTCCTTTACCACCAGTTCCTCTGTCGGCTCTGCGTGGGGTGATCTTGCTCTGCCTGCTCTCCCTGCTCTTGGCATTTCCCCACAGATGCCCCTCTAGCCACACCAGACCAACTCCAGGCTGGCCATGCTCTTTCAAGCTTCAGGTCTTTGCACCTTCTGTTTTCTTCTGTCTGAAATAGCCTCCCTGTTTACTGTTACTGTGGTTGCTTCTGGTTCCATTTCCAAAGTCGATTAAGTACTGGGAATGTTTCCTAACCCCTCTGCAACAGTCTCTGCCTCCAAAATGAGTCAGGGCCCCTCCTTCTCTACCAGCATGGTGCCTCATGAGGATCAGTGCCTGCTTATGATTACTGGCTACTTGGCTGCTGCCCTCACTGGACTGTAAATACTTGAAGACAGCCTTCCACGTTTATAAATGTAGTGCCTAGCCCATGATACGTGATTAGTAAGGGTTTGTTGGATGACTGTTTTACTGTATGTAGGTTGTAAATTGGTTTATCAAACTGGTGGTTCATTCCTCTGGAGAAAAACTCAGCAGATGAAATGACGGTTTGGGGATGAAAGGTTTTAAGATGGCAGCCAGACTGGAGTGTGGTGGCCATTAGCAGTTTTGCATGTGTTCCTTTTACGGTTCGGACTATTTCCATATTTTCCCTGAATGAAAATATTTTGCTCGCATCTAAGAATTCATACTTATTGTCATTTATTCATTCAGCAAATGTTTATTTGGCATCTGCTAAATTGCACAGTAAATACAGCAGCAGAAACCACAGTTCTGCTCTATTTTTTTTCAAGATTATTTGTTTGTTTGTTTGAGAGGCAAAGCTACAGACACAGGGGAAAAGAGAGAGAAAGGTCTTCTGTCTGCTGGTTTACTTCCCAAGAGGCTGCAACAGAGCTAAGATGGTCAGGAGCCAGGAGCTTCTTCTGGTCTCCCATGCAGGTGCAGGTGCAGGGGCCCAAGCACTTGGGCCATCTTCCACTGCCTTCCCAGGCCACAGCAGAGAGCTGGATCAGAAGAGGAGCAGCCGGGACACGAACCAGTGCCCATAAGGGTTGCTGGCCCTGCAGGTGGAGGCTTAGCTCACTGTACTACAGCGTTGCCCCCCACAGTTCTGCTCTAAATAAGCTTGGTTTTAATTGGAATTCTGTGTTATCTGATAAAGCTTTTTTATGGCTGTCGTTAAATGTACAGCCAGCCCTCTATAATCCATGAATTCTGTTTCTGCAGTCTCAACCAACTGCAGATCAAAAATCTTAAGAAAAAAATAACATCTGTACAGATTTCTTTTTCCTTGTCCTTACTTCGTAACAATACAACAACTATTTTCACAGCGTTTATATTGTGTTAGGGATTATAAATAATCTAGAGATGATTTAAAGTCTACAGGAGGCTGTACATAGGCTACATACAAATACTACAGCATTTTATATAAGGGACTTGAACTCATCTGTGGATTTTGGTATCCATTTGGGGTCCTGGAACCAATCCCCTGCTGTTCCCAAGGAACCAGTGTGCGTGTGTGTGAGTAATGAAGTGCCTAGTTTATAAATCTATATTCTGAGTTTGTTTTAAAGACTTGTCCAGTCTTAATACCAGTAGCTGCACTAGAGTGAGACTACTTCGGGTGGAATTTTTGAGCAGAAAATGAGCATAGTCGAAGAAGATGAAAAGAGAAGTAGGAGTTAGAAGTAGATGGGATGGAGAGCATTGTTCGCCTGTGAGAAACTGATATCCATTAAGGGCAGCACTGGCTGTGGGATGCCTCATCATTTGTGACATACTCTGTCAAGGTTTTAGGAAGAAGTGGCAGGATGAAAGTGATTTTTGCTTCTCTGTGGGAGAGATTCAGCTGCTGCAGTAATCCTTTGTGAGATGATGAGGGGTACTCTGGATTTAGAGTTATAGACAAGGAGTAGTTTATATCTGAGACATTGGTTGGGCTTGATGTTGAACTGGATGTCAGAGTCAGAGCAGTTGAGTCTGCTCCTGAGACAGGCAAGGGAGTCTGTGAGGCCAGTGGCGTCATCGAGTTGTCCATTCTGTAATTGCTTACTGTGTGCTGGGCACTGGGGAGCCCAGGATAATCAACAAGGAGACGTGGGACATTGAGGATAGAAAGTTCAGAAAGGATTTAGGCGTAGCGACTTAGGGACTTGCAGCTGGTTTGTTTTAATTTGCTGAGATGGAAATCTTTCTTTTTAGAGGCATATATCTGTAGGGTGAGCAACTAAGTAAACTGTGTACCACAACCCTGTGGATATTGTGAAACATTAGTGATTTGCTAGAGAAAGGGCAGAAGACTTTTTTTGGTGGCCAGACTCATAAAGTCTTACCTTATAGTAGAATCCAGATCCTTACATTTTAAAACAGTATGTCTCTGTCAGTTGAGTACTTTGGTTAATATTAAAGAGTAGAAATAACTCTTTTCATGTTTGGAACAGATAATAATACCATGTATAACTTGTATAAACACTTTCAGGTTAATTACAACTTTAAAACATTGTTTTAGGGGCCATTGTGGTGGCATAGCAGGTTAAGCTATCACCATGCAATGCTGGCATCCTATTTGGGGGTGGGTTCGAGTCCCAGCTGCTCCACTTTCTAACTCCCTGCTAGTGCACCTGGAAAAACAACAGAAGATGACTCAAGTAGTTGGGCGCCTGTATCCATGTGGGAGACCTGGATGAAGCGTCTGCCTTCACCTGGCCCAGGTCCAGCTGTTGTGGCCATTTGGGGAGTGAATCAGTGGATGGAAGCTCTCTCTGTCTTTCCTTCCCTCTCTAACTCTACCTTTCAAATAAGTAAATAAATCTTAAAAAAAAAAACACACACACACACACACACAAAAACTCAGAGGTAGTATTTTTAAAAAATACCTTTAGGCTGGTGCCGTGGCTCAATAGGCTAATCCTCTGCCTGTGGCGCCGGCACACCGGGTTCTAATCCTGGTCGGGGCACCGGATTCTGTCCCGGTTGCCCCTCTTCCAGGCCAGCTCTCTAGCTGTAAAATAGGATTATAGAATATCTAGAGACTAGTTCATGAAACATGATGCAGGATGGTGAAAAAATACATCTTTCTGAGAGACCAAGATAAAAACTTGTCTATGTGGAGAGCAATGATGGATTTAGAAATATAATGGAATTGCAAGGAACAATAAAGACAATAGCAGGAGTTAGCAGTAAGTCAGCACTTACTAGGTGCCAGTTGTTGTTATACAGTGCTCTGTATCTTAGCAAAGATTCTACTATTTGTCTAATCTTTATAACAAATCTTACAAAATAGATTGGACTGTCATCTTCATATACAGATAAGAAAGGCCAGGAGTTGTTAAGTAACCTGCCCAGAGTTACACAGCTGGAAAGCACCAATGCAGGAGTGCCAACCCAAGCAGTAGGAATCCAGGGAGGGCCCTCTCTCATTTCCCCAAGCCTTTAACAGTTGTGACATAAAGCCATGAACAG